TAGAGGGTAGATAAGTGCATCAAAAATGAACACTAAATAAACGGAGGGTTCAGGAAATATTCGGGACCTACTTTCATGTTGTACTCGATCATATCTACAACCTACACTAGGTTTTGTACCAGTGTATTTCATGACTTTTTTGTAGCACCGTTTATTATTGAGTTTTGTTTTACCGCTTACATATAATGATTATTTATTAAACTCAGACACCACCAAATGAAATTTTTACCTAGTATTTTCATACTTATTCCTTTTATTAGTGGATCTCGTCTCTATCTCTGAAAATTATACGTCGGAAATAACGCTAGTATTGATTTTGAGTATTTTAATAATAGTTACACTGTGTACCTAATTTCAAAAAGTTGGGGGTGATGGCAAGCGAACGAACGGCATTTGATTAGGCTGACCAAATACTGAAAAAGTACCAAAGGAGTTGAAAAAGTTGACTACCATTTCTTTTTGATCTCAATTTGAAGTTGCCGAGATAAGCTCCCAATAAGAGCGTAGAATTTAAAACACATTTTCCAAAGTTAACGGAGCGGGAAGGGAGGGGATTGGAGGAGTTTTTGGCACTGGTCAATGTTCAACGAAAAAATTTGTATTATATATATCGCACGTTTAATAATATAAAGATGTAACTCAATATTTACGTTTTTCGAGATTTCATTATGCAGTTAATAATACAATATGTTCAGTCTAACAGATGACCAAACTTCCCAAACATGGCGAAGATATGAGTATCTGTATCTGTATTTTTGTATACCAAATGTATGAATTGATAAAACTGTGATTGCGTTTTCCCATAAATTGAAATTTTGAAATACTTATTAAACGTGCGATATGTGTAAATGTATACATACATATATGTATGTAGGTATGAAATTTGTCAGCGAAACCAAAAGAAAAACATTGTACTTGTTTATTTTTGAACCTTAAATTCAAAACTTCAAATCGATATAAAATGGAAATGGGTACCAACTTTTACAAATGCTTTGGTATTTATTCATATTTTGACCTCTTTTAATGAATGCAATTGGTTTGATTCCCATCACTTTTTGAGTGTTGCACTGTGTTATTCTTAAGTGAAAAAATTAGGGCTAATTCCCTGCAGGAAATGTACCTAACTATAAGCTAACTTTAAGTTGATTAGGAAGGAGCTAAAAGTCATTATTATCTGCATATTTTCTTTGACGAAAGCTAACTATATTTCTATGGCGATGGCCGCGAAATAGTCAAGGGTGGTTACCTCTGGTGGTTGATGTAACTAACTTGTAATTAACTACTATTGGACATAAAATATCAATAGGAAAAACAAAATGTCTTTTTATTTGTTTTTTATTTACGTTATTTATTTTATTACATTTCATATTTGTTTACATATTCTGCTGTGGTGGTCCCATATTCGAACTCCGTCAGACACAACTTCAAAATTATAATATTAAATTTCGATCTTCTATTTATTTGTCCTCAATTCGAAAAAGCGTTTGCACAGTGCAGGATATTTAAATAGAAACGCGTTTAAGGAAAACAATCGCTGCATTACTTGTCAACTAGTTTCATGTTAGGTTTTTGTAGCTAACTACAAGTTATATATTTTAAAGATATCCCGCAAAAAAGCTAGCTACAAGTGGGTTATTTTTTTATCAATTGATAATTTTATTCTGCAGAGTAGTTTCGTAAGTATTTAAATTTTTTCGTGTGTTTAGATTTTTTTTGTTTTTGTCGCACGGTGTTATCTTTGATAGAAAAACTAAAAATCATAAAATAATCTTTATTTTGATCGAAAAAAAATCACTTTTTATTATGTAATTTCATTTAAGCGATAAAGTAAAACTCAAAAATAAATTACGTGACGTGCCTGGCGGAGGCTCCTCCTGAAGCAACAGTCTGTTAGGGTGTTCACTTCTGTGACACCCCACCAGAAATTGCTTACAGAGCATTTTGTTGTGTTCCCTGACGGGGACCACTTGGGCCTCGCTGTGCAGGTGGTGCTCAGGCGTCATCGGAAGGCACCCAGTCGCTGTCCGGAGTGCGACGTTCTGACAAGTCTGTAGCTTCGTCCACTGCGTCCAACTAGTCCCCGGCGTCCAAACTGGCGCAGCATAGTTTAGAACCCGCCGGCCAATTGCCTTGTATGTTGCCAGCAACGTTTCTTTGTCTTTGCCCCAAGTGCTGCCGGCGAGCCGCAACAAGGTCCGGCTCTGTACTTTGTTGACAATTGCGGTTGTGTGCGTGGAGAAGGAAAGCAGGCTATCGAAGGTGACTCCTAAGATTTTTGGGTTGTTTACAGTCGGTATTTGTGTGCCGTCGACGTGTATACCCAACTCTAGCCTGACCTGAAGAGGGTCGCCGTTGATTTCGTTGGGGAGAGTGTTAGGCTCCTTGCAGTGAAGAAGCGAGAAAGGCTGGAGAGATAGTCGTTCACTTTTGAGCAGAGGTCATAAATTCCATTCCCGGACGCCAAAATCAAGCAATCGTCAGCGTATGAGATCAGGGAAACTCCCTCAGGTGGTTGAGGAAGTTTCGAGATGTAGAAGTTAAATAGTAAGGGGAAGAGAACACCACCTTGTGGAACCCCTTGTTTAATCCTTCTTGGTTTCGAGGTTTGATCTCGGAAGATTACTGACGACTGTCGACCACTCATATAATTCGCCGACCATCGCTTCAGTCCCTGTGGGAGTGAGGAGGCCTCGATGTCTTCTAGTAGCGTGGAATGACAGACGGTGTCAAACGCCTTTGACAAGTCCAGCGCTACTAGGACCGTTCTCTCACAGGGGCGGTTTCGATTTAGGCCACGAGTTATTTGTGTGTTTATGGCGTTAAGTGCTGTTGTTGTGCTGTGCACTTTACGGAATCCATGCTGGTGCTTAGCTGGGGTCAGGTGGCAAGTGAAGTATGGGAGTAGTAGGGCCTCAAGCATCTTCGCGACCGGGGAAAGGAGCGTTATCGGGCGATAAGGGTCTCCTTTGTTGGCGGGCTTCCCCGGTTTCAGCAGTGGGACCACTCTCCCTGATTTCCACACATCAGGAATGATGAGAGTGGCCATGGACAGGTTGAGGACCTCCGTAAGGTAAGCTACTCCCTTAGGCTCTAAATGTTTTAGCATCAGCATGCAGATTCCGTCGGGTCCAATGGCTTGGGAGGCTTTCGCCTTCCCGATGGCCCCCTTCACTTCACAGCTGGTGAAAACAAGTGGTGCACTGTTTTTTGGCAGCTTGTGCAGCCTCCTGGTCACTCGACGTTTGGCCTTGTCTACCGAAGGGTGCAGTGTAAATTGCCTACTAAAGTAGGCTGCGCATTTCTTCGGGTCCGACGAAGCGCGACCTTCGAAAGAGATTTCTACTCTGTCATCACGCTTCGTTGGGTTGGACAGGGACCTCACGGTTGACCAGAGCTTACTCACACCAGATGTGAAGTTACAGGCCTTCAAGTGCTCCTCCCACTTTTTCCGCTTATGCTGATTTACCAGTTGCCGAATCTCCAAATTAAGGTCCCTCAGACGGGGGTCCCCGGGGTCGACCTGGCGTAGGTGGTCACGCTCGTTTGCTAGTACAGCTGCTTCGGCCGTGAAATTTGGGCGGACTTCCGCGATGCGTCCGGACGGGATGAAGCGAGCCGCTGCGGCAGTGACTACCCTGCGGAACTGGCGTTCTGCTCTCGGTGACTTCCGCGAAGCCGTCCCAATCAGCTTTGTTAAAGTTGGTATAGGTTCGGTGGTCCGCGGGAGCAAAGTCGGTGGGCTTATTGATCGAGATGACTATGGGTAGATGGTCTGATGCTAGTGTTAGCATCGGTCGCCATGAGATGCTATTGATCAAACCAGCAATTATTAGGTCTGGCGAGCTGCTGCAGCTACCCATAATCCTGGTGGGGGCGTCGTCGTTCATGGTGCAGAATGTCGAATCGTCTATCTGCTCAGCCAAAAGGTTTCCCCTACGATCATTGGCCAGGCTTGAGTACCATAGATCGTGGTGCGCGTTTAAGTCACCTAATACCATTCGGTTTTCACCTCTGAGTAGCGCACCTATGTCAGGGTGATATCCTGCCGGGCAGCAGGTGACAGGGGGTATATAAACGTTGAATATTTCGAGCTCGACATCGCCTGACCGGACAGATATGCCCTGACATTCTAGGGTGGTGTCCCTCGGGTCGATGTCTTCTTCGATAAGCCGATACTGCACTGTGTGGTGTAAGATGAACGCTTGTCCGCCACCATTATCTCGCTCGCGATCTTTACGGAGCACATTGTAGACGGCGCAACCCAATAGAGTTGAGTAGCTGTGCAACTTCGTTTCTTGGACCGGAGCATAGGCGGAAGTGACACCAGCCTAGGCATGAGTTGCATTTGACCGATTGGGGTTGGGAGGTTTGCTGCTGCCCAGAGGAGCTTCTCGGAGCCGTGCAGGCTCTTCGGGTGTTGGGTGCGTTGCGCGAGCGGGTAGCCGTGGAGGCTGACTGTGCCGTTATGCTTGAGCAGCAGGGAGCCACATAGCTTGTGGTCCACTCCCGGTGAGACCTAAGACCAGAGCAGGTACTTAGGTGACTCCATCCGTTGCATGAGTTGCACCTAACCGAAGTGGAGTTCTGATGGAGTCGATTCTGGCGAACACAGCAGAAATACGTTTCTGGTCCGGGGTTGGGCTCTACGCCCGCCCGGAGAAGAAGGATGCGGAGCAATCCGGCTGCAAGGAGTTGCTCCATGGACGAACAATGATTGAGGGGTATCGCCGATCTAAGCGGGGTTAGGTCGCCGAAACAACAGCCCTTGGTCGGGTAAAACCCGAGTCATTCCGGTACGTAGAACCGGCTGTCTTGGGAATCGCTCCTGTAAGCAGCGGGACGTTGACAGTAAAACTAAAACCAAAGTTGTACTTTCTTAATCTGTAAGTAATATTCTTTAATTTTTTTAACCCCATTTTCGAGTTCATCATTGGTTGCGTGTTGGTCTACAGTAAAAAATTGTTCAATTCAAATGACATTGTTTTTCAATTAATATACATATGTATTTTAGTTTTCTCAGTTTTACAATTTTATTATAAAGGAAAAATTATAAGTATAACATTAGAATTTTTCAATGTTATACATATGTGTAAAAATGCGTAGCTATATTCCTGCAAACTATATATTTTGCATTACATTACAAGCTACGGTTTCTTATTAAATCTTCATATCTATTGCAATAGGATAAAATCTCGTTGTATGTGCATCCCTTGTTGCAACATTCGTCGTATACGCCCTGACGACGACGACGAGTTTTAGCCAATGTATCAACTTGGCCGCCATGAATCTTGGCTAAAAAAGGTGAGTTTGCATAGGGGAAAGGCAGCTCCTCGACCAGGTCATTGGTGCCATGGTCACTCCATTCCACTAGAATTCAACACAATGTAGTTGTATTAATTGCAAACTTAGGCATCGTAAACTATTGCGAATTTTACCTAATGCGAATTTGTTTTTACTCACATGATTTCTTAAATTTCGTATTGAAGCCGTGAACGCAAAGTGTACTGAGCACTGCATCCAGCGCAGGACCACAAACAGTTCGTTGAGTAGTACTTTTGTGCAAACTTGCTAATAAAACAAACAATAAAGCGCAAATTTTAAGCAAATCGAAAGCTATCATAATTTTATAATACTTGGATTTATTTATAAAAAATATATATTTATACTATATTTAATTGACACAACTTATGTATCTTTGAAGCTGTGCCGAGCAATTGATGTAAATGCAATTTCTGCTTATGCTTTTATACCTAAAATAGTTCAGGTGTTTACAGTTATTTGAGTAGGTGACAACGAAAGGCGATAAAACAACGGAGCTAGCACGCACTTCTGTACATCTGCATGTGTGATTTATTGCATATTTATAAGCACACGAGTGGGTGTTTTAATGAGAATTTCTCATGCAGAATTACTCCCACGTGGAGACTTCTTGCTTGGCAATAAAAAGTTATTGGTTACAAAACCATTTGATTGAAAATTTTGATACATATTTTTCATTGCAAAATTTTTGCGGAAAACTTAGAAACATTTGCGTTTTAAACCATTTATGAGGAAGACTAAATGCATTAAATACCATAATGGGTTGAGTACTTTCAGCATGTAATATGTACCTACCAGCTGAGCTATTCAAGTATGGCGGCGAGGAGCTGATGAGGTGCATGCATCAACTCTTGGTCATAATATGGTAAAATGAACGCATGCCCAACGACTGGAACTAAAGTGGGCTCTGCCCAATCTACAAGGAAGGGAACCCTGCCATAGGCGCCAACTACCGCGGGATCCCCCTAATAAGGTCTTGTTGAGCATATTGTATGAAAGACTGAAGCACACCATCAACGAATTGATTGAGTCTTATCAGAGTGTGGCTTCCGACCTGGTAAATACACAATAGGGGTATTCTCGAAATCTTGCAAAACCGTTGCACGTAGCACGGATTGCATAACTTGCAAACACAAAACTACAAAATACATGGGAAACAACATTTCCCATCGCTAAAAAATTAGCAACGTCGAAACCCATACATACATTTTGCAAAAAAGCATAGCAAAATAAATGCGACCCTGTGCTTGTTGATTTGTCGGAATTGCTACATATTTCTCTCGTTCCCCTCATTTCGCTCACTGCATTTTTTTATTGTCTCTTGTTATTGTATTCGATGCAGAATGTCGCTGCTTGCTACCTATGCATGCAACCACTTTGCAATGGGGTGCTCTCGTACTCTTACAGATTTGATGTTGTCACACAAACGAGGGGACTTACAGTTTTACGCCGACTCCGAACGGCGATTGTATTTTTATGAGAAGCTGTTTTTCATGGCAGAAATACACTCGGAGGTTTGACATTGCCTATCGAGGAGCGGTTCGTGATGCTGGTAACAGAAGAAAAGGAAGGCTGCCTATGCGTTGAAAAGACCTGGCCGAGAAGGACTTGGCTTTACTTGGTATTTCCAATTGGTGCCAGTTGGCACAGAAGAGACACGACTGGCGTGCTTTGTTGAACTCGTCCAAATCGCTTAGGCGGTTACAGAGCCAAATAAGAAGAAGAACGAATTCAATTGCAATCATTTAATTTCACTTAAAAATACTTTAAACAATAAATTTCTTAACATTTGTTAACACCGAAGCAATTTTTCTTTTTATAAGCAAATAAACAACAATATTCGGCTTTCTCCCTTTACTGCCAACATTCGTATTTTCAAAATTGTAACAATTTATTTGCAATATGAATAGAGCTCGTTGTAGGTACAAGGCTTGCGGCAACATTCGTCGAATACACCCTCACGGCGCCGTCGAGTCTTAGCCAATGTGTCAACTTGGCCGCCATGAATCCCAGCTAGAAGAGGGAAGGATGCATAACGGGTAGGCGGATAATTGTTGTCAAGGTCTTTCCATTCCACTAAAATGACACAAATTTACTTGGGAAATTTTTTAATAGTAAAATTAAATTTAATCATAAACATCGGAAAGACTGTAGTAAAAAAGCCGAAGCGACGCAGACTTTTTGCATCTCTTCATAATATATACCTATTGTTATTGCTTGTTTTCAAAAAAAGTAAGCTTCTTAGTTAGTGAAACCAATAACTAAGTGCATACCAGAGCTTTTTAAAGAGTTTCATAGATTGGCAGATCTACTAAAATATTACTCTGATTTTATGAGCAAATGTATGTACATATATGGATTTAGAGTAATTGGGATTAGTTATTATTGAAATATCGCAGTATATTCGATATCCAAACTTTCAAAAATACTGTTAGGTAAGCGGTTTGGTCCATTTTCAACACAAACCTACCTCATGGGTAATCTTAGTACATACGTACATATGTATGTACATGTACACCAAATTTCGTTTGAAGGTCCACACTGTTACTTTCGTATCATGAACAGACGAGGCGGGCGAATGAATTACGGACAGACCGATACAGCTTAATTGCTTTCTCTCTTCATTGTGAATATGTTGGTATATAAAGCAGATAATTTTTGTGAACTAAGGATATGAGTTTGAGCTCAATCCTAAACACACGTTTTAGTAATAAGAGCCATTATATGATTATTGCTAAATTTTATACATACTTAATATATATATGTATATATTGTGTATTTATACTCACTAGACTTTTTGAATTTTGTGTTAAAGCCATTTTCACAAATAGTATCCAGTACAGCATCTATGGCCGGACCACATACCCTGCTCTGTGCGATAATTTGTTGCAAACCGGCACATAAAACAAGCAGGGAAATGCAAATTTTAAACAAATTCGGCGACATCATAGCGGTGGAGTATACAATTTAATATACTTAATTTAAAAATATTTATTAGAATGTTTAATGAACTGCTTTTTCGAGCTATAGCTTTTTCTTGAAGCTATGCAAAACGACTGATGGAATTTGCAGTTTCCTAGTGAGCTTTTATACTACCAAAATGGCAAAATAATTTGTAATGTTTGTTGCGTTTGTACACAAATACAGATTATTTCGATTATGCCTAAAGAGGAAAAGGTACATATTTATTTTTGCTACACCTGAATTCAAGGACGCAATGCATTCGAGTATTAATTGGTGGGTGTTTAACACATTTTGTGTATGAGGAAAGGTCTAGCGTGTGAGTTATTATGGAAACTTACTTAATTTTACCCCAGAACTTCCAAATTTCAATTAGAACAATTTTTTCGAAGAATTATAAATTCAAATTATTAAGTATACATATTAAATAAATAAAAATTATTTTTTTTATTATTTAAATGAAATTTGGGGCACAGATGGTCTCTTATCTTAATTTAGTTAGTTAGTAAGTTATTTCCTAGATGTAACAAATGGCCAATATACCTTCGGCTTCCCTAATGAATTCTGAAAGGGCCTTTGTTGTGTACAACAAAGAGTTAAAGCCTTGAAATAGATCAATCTTTGTCTGGAAAAAGCCGGACAGTGACAGAGAATATGCTCTGAAGTTTCATCATCTTCAAGGCAGAGCCAGAATTCCGACTCTGTAATCACACCTATTCGTGCAAGTGCAATCGCTATTGGTTGTGACCAGTCAGGTACCCAGAGTAGCCCGATGTCATTTCTGTTTTCTAAAGTAATGTTATTTTTCTTAAAAGGGTAGCCGAAGAGCCTGGCTTCTCGCCCCTCCCCAGTACTGAGTGTACCCAGTCAGTAATTATGGCTCTCGAAGAAGACCAACTGAGACCACAGAATGGTTCAGATCCCGATCACAGGGTTACCGTGTTTTTGCCTGTCAAACTGTACAGCGTGTCGAAGATTTCTCTAACCAGCTTGGATTTCATAGTCCCATTTGAAAGTGCCCGGATGGCTAGAAAAGCGCAATTCAAACCCTTTTCAAGGTTTAATTTTACGCAGTTGAAATTTCAACTTCGCTTGAAACACCGTGTCCATTTGCCAATGGAATTTGCAAGTTTGGTGCTAGGTCCAAAAATACCTGCAGCTGCTCTGTCCTCAACCGTCTGTGTACCACTGTACATATCTGGGATCAAGTGCAGGGAGCCCATGTGCTCAATCTTCGCGATAGGGGAGTATAACCTTGAAATTTCCGACAAGGAAGATCTATTAAGTCATGAAATCAGAGATTATACATACTTCCAACCCCGGTAGCTTCCCAAGAATATCTGTATGAAGATTCGTTGTGAGTAAACCGTCGCTAGATAGTCGAAGTTGCAGATCCTTCGTGGCTGCTGTTTCATAGATAAAAATATGGAGAGGAGTCCATCTCAGAAGCGACTCTAGAGCCGCAGTTGAGCTACTTATTGATCCAATAACGGATGGACATGCCAATCTTTGCAGATTGTTAAGGTGAAGTATGGCAGTTTTTTGCAGTGTTTTCTGCCACCATACTATGGATGCTTAAGACACAATAGGATGGACGATGATATGGTATTCCCACGCTATTAGCCTTGATTTACATATAGGATATTTTCCCAAAGATTTGCTTCAAAAATAAAGTCAGTTAATAATTAATTTCAATAAATTATTACCACGTTGTGGGCGTCAATAGAAAGGGGGCAAAAACGATCCATTTCCAAAATATTTTTAAAGAAGGTTGCCACCTGTTTAGAAATTCAACATCAATAAGTGTATTGCCACCTGCTCAAAAAGTTAAAATTAATTTGACTAATAAGGTAAATGAAATGTTTGAATATTCATATGCACATACATATATACAAGTCTAAGAATGCTTTATTTCTTTACTTACGTTTTTAAATTAAATAGTTATACCATAAAAAAGCCCACCGTGGGCTCATGCCAGTTCTTATAAAAGTCAAGTTAACGATGTAAAACTACGGGAGTAATAGCATTTTTTTCGAAAAGCTAACACACACGTTCGAAATAAAATTTTAAATGTTTTTTTTTTCATCTATAATAAAACCCATGATACAAAATAGAGGTAGTTCTATTATCACTTTTTCGTCGCCATATTAACAACCTGACAATTAAGCAGAGTGTGACATTTCATGCTACCATACCAAAGCATATCCCACAAGGTAGAAGTGACAATTCAGTCGAGCTCTCTTATAACTGACTGTAATGTCAAAAAATTTTAACAAATAAATTAACCCTTTGTAATGCATTTACCATATTTGGTAAAACTCAATATCTTTGAAATTAAAGCTTTTGTAAATATGAAAATATTTAAAATCTCATTAGAATCAATAAATTTTTGTTATTGCATTTTCACAAAATTACACACTAAATGAAACACA